AACAAAGATAACGGCTTTGCCAACAAGACAATGGGTTTTGGGGCAACTTAACTTAACCAACCAAAAATAGGATGCAATTATTGATTACAGAACAACCAGCCAATTGGGGACTTGATCAACGAAGGACATGTTTTGAAGATCTGGATGGTCCCTTCAAGCAAGTGTATGCTGGGAAGAGGACTGAGTCATTGAGTGAGATCCCTCTCTCTTGTGGATCTTGAAGTTTGCTAAAGCAGACCACAAATTGCCAGTCAGCCTTTGGGATGACATTCAGGCAGGGTCTGCTCGCTTGGTTTAGATGCTAACTCTGCAGTGCCACTGCTGCCTGTTTTCTTCAGTGCCTTTGCGATGGGAATTCCGAGGGTTCCTATCCTCTACCTCTGGCAGCAAGCACTCCACAAGCACTCCACAAGCTCGTGGTTCTGGGGTCCGCACATTGCACTGCAAATGCCTTCGAATCTCACACTGAAAAGTTGCCTCGGCAGAATGGTGAAACGAACCATACCCCTGTAAACGGTAAGATTTCTTGGGCTTCCCACATTGCAGTATGTACATGCACAAATGTTGCTAGCTTCTTCACTGCTCTCTGCATGAAGTCAAGTCAGGATAGCCAGGGTCGCCACTCAGCCAAATCAGGAGTGTGCAGCGATGCTCTGCATGTTTCCAATGACCGTTTTATTATCCATCCAAATTTCGCCTCCCGTCCAGTGCGCTGATGCAGCGCAGTTCGCTGCTCATTTCGATCTGCACATTCGCCAGCAGCACGCGGCCATTGGGCGAGAAGAGCCTAGGTAGTTCCCCCAAATCCCGACGTTCGGATTCTGTTCCGCTGTTTGAATGCCATTGGTAAATGGAAGAAACCCCCATGAATTCAGACATTCCCGACATTCCCAACATTCCCACATATATCCAATGTTTTGTTGGAGACATATCCCATTAAAGTCTATAAAACTTCCCCGTTCTTGTTGGTGAATAGCCCCATTTTCTGCGGGCCAGATCCCACTGTACCAGCATTCCTACCCTCATCGCTAGGGTTGTCACCAGCACATATCTACAAGATATTAAACACCCCTTTTGCATAGTTGATTCACCACGTCTGTTGCTTGAACCACCTATATTTGATCATATTTGTCGTTGTCCCAAGTTTCATCGGTTGAATCGCCAGGTTTGCTGTTTTATCCCACCTACCCTCTGGTAAACTAACATAACTATGGAAAAAACACATTTTTTTATGGGAAAATCAACTATAAATGGCAATTTTCAATAGCTGTGTTAAATTACCAGAGGCTAATTGTCTTGAAAAATCTCATCATATCCACTATTTCATGTCAGCATGTCATCAGAAAGGAGCCGATCAAAATCTGTGGATAGACCATATATTTCTTCGAATCATACGGCGTACCCCATGTGGTTCTGAATCAAGGTCCCATGGTTTTTCCAACCAAATTCCCCCTATGTTTCAAATCTTAATAAACTATATAAAACTAACTATAAGATCTCTAGGTCTCATCACTTCCAAGAGTTTAATTCCCCCTTGTTGATCATCAAAAAGTCCCTTGGTCCAACAGAGTGTCATCCAATGTCGAGGCGCACTGAGGACACGGAGGGGCCCACGTGTTCGCGTTCGCGCGGCGGCACGTGCACGGCGCAGCGGTGCGCCACCGCGTCGGCGGGCTCCGGGCGCAGGTCCTCGAAGGTGGGCTCGGAGCGGTGTCGAGGCCATAGGGAAAAACATAGGAAAAGCCTAGGAAAAGGGTGACTCAACTATGAAAAATGAGGATTGAGATGGGATCTATATGGGATCTACCTTAGGGAAACGGTGACTTAGCCAAGAAAAATTTGGATTTAATGGGAAACTATGTGATAATCCTCTTTAAATGCGTGATTTGGGGGTGCAGTTGGAGTTGTTGCTATTTACCTGGGATGTTAACCTTCATAAGTTGGGATGTTCAACCCTTCTATGGCTAAACATATCCACTTAGAAGTGCAACTGTGCCCCTCTGTGCGGGATACGGGATACCAACTAGAAATAACCATATACAAGGTGAGGCCCGAACTTGCGATCGAGTTGGGTAACTATAGGGGATATAACTATAGCATCTATAGTTTTCATGGTGATTATAACCCAATTTGTAATTCTGAGGCCTCGGCCCAGTAGCCGAAATCGACGCCATTTTGGGATCCAAGGATCGAAGATATCGGCGCTGTCGGCTTCATTGCCTCGGCTCCGGATGGTAAGGCATCTGTTGGGCGATGATTGACAGCTGCTAGAAAGATATTGCAATCATGTAGACATATCATGACACATTACATATATATATATATATATATGTGTGTGTATATATATGTATATATCTGTGTGTGTGCGATCACGATTTTCATGAAATATATACATATATATATGTGTGTGTGTGTTTCTTGCTTCTGCGAGTACGGTCTGTTAGAAATACTGTTTTTTTGGAAGCAGTGTACAGCGTGTATGTTACTGTACCTCTGGTGTCATCAAACATGGCAAGTTGCAAGCCGAAAAATCCAATGTTTGGCTGGTTGATGTTCCCCATGGGCAGGCGATTTCCGCCATGTTTGATCACAGGTTGGAGTATTCGGAGAGTATGTGAGTGTGTTGACATGGGGGCTTCCATAAATGGTGCTACCATGTGCTACCCCAATAGATGGATGGTTTATAATGGATAATCCGACTAAAATGGATGATTTGGGGGTACCCCCATTTTAGGAAACCTCCATGTACATGTTCAATTATTTGTTCAGGAACCCCACTACCAGCAGTCACACCCTTCCTGCTCACCGCAGAAATGGAAAACCCAGCCAAATCTGAAAGCAAACCCGAGGAACTCAAACCCATTCCTCGTTCGCTTTGCACATGGATGCAGAAGGATCTCCCAAAGTTGTCACAACTGATGCTGTTTCCTCGGATGTCAAATGCAAAAAATGTCCGGTAAAATAGGGCTGGAGCCCTTCCTTCAAAGGCACATGGATTGGGGTAGCTCTTGATGTTCTGGGCCCATGTCCATATTTGGTATGTCTTGAGTCTTGAGGTTGGGTGCCATGTCGAGAGTTTTTTTTGCCTGTCACTGCAGAAAATCTACACACACACAGCCCTACACTTCCGATGAACCAACTCAAGCTAATCGAGCAAAGGTACGGACGCCATGCATACATGCATCCAGACTCACCCTTTGAATGGGTTTGCCTGGCTCAAAAGCAGCCAAGCACCAAGCTGGGACATCGAAATCCTTCAGGAATGTTCTCTGGAAGGGTAATAAGGTGGGTCCCAAAAATACTTGTGCCGCCACCAAAAAAAAAACATTTATAAAATATCAACAAACTATCAACTATCAATATCCCAACTATCAATAAACGATCAATCACACACCACCTTTGAGAGAACTAAAGGTCAACATTAATTCGGTGGTTTTTTTCCCAGCAGATTCATTGACTGTTCCACAGTTTTGCTGGTCAACCTCCTTTTTTGCTGGTTACTTCTAATTTCTCCCCTCGTGACATCCCGATTTTATAATGTTAATCGCAGCCGTCTTGCTCATCAAAATTGCAGCGAGTGATGGTTAAAGTCCCAATACCAGTTTTCTCTGGCTAAATCTCCGTTGTTAACGCTCAAAATCCCTATGTCCTAATTTCTTTCTGCTCAAAAGTTACAGAACTCCCGAACTTACCATCTGGCTAAATCCCCAGGGGACTTACTACTATTTATAGATCCTAGTATATGCGATAAATAATCTCGGGACCTACAATAACCGGAAATAAGGCTGGTTACCCCAACAAACAATCGTTTACGATGTCGCAATGGAGGTCATTGCAATGTATCCGGATTATATCACCATTAAATATACCTGTGAGTTTGGTGCCACCAAACTGATCCATTTACCACTTTGCCAGGTTGGAACCACCACATGCAGCTGCAGAACCACATTGGGCGTTCTCGACGCGGCCTCTTTGGCTTTTACGTGTCTTGCCGCTGGACAACGATTCCAGAGGGCCCTCTTTTGAGCCTAGCATTCGAAGCTACGCATGACAAAACAGATAGCACTCCTGCTTTGCATTTCGTGTTTGCGCTTAGAGCGGCATAACACAACAAGATATCTTTCCATATCTTCGCATTGGTAGCGGAGCCGGCAAAGATCCGGCTCCAGCCCGCGCTGCCATGTCGACTTCTCCGGCGAGAAGAGCTGCTGGCGGCGGTGCTGGATCATCTCCTACCTCCCCAACCGAAACTTCTCCATATGTCAAGGACTCCTTTGTGCCGAGATTTGACAATACCATCAGCGGCTACAAGGAGTGGCGGAAAAGGGTTCAACTGTATGCCCGCAGGCTTGAGCTGCAAGGTCGTTCAAAAGAAGTTGCCATGAATGTTTTGGCAGTACTTGAAGGTTCCAGTTGGACGCAATGTGAAGACATAGACCTCAAGGAACTGGAAGCCGAAAACGGCCTAGATGTGTTGCTGCGACGGTTGGATTCGAAATGGAAATATGATGAAAGGGTTGAGCTGGGATCCATATTTGACACCTTCTTCTTCAAGGTTCAGCGAAAGCCCAACCAATCACTTTTGGACTATGTGACTGATTTTCACCAAGCCCTACGCGATGTTCAGAGACTGAAGGTTGATCTTCCTGAGGAAATCACTGGATGGCTCATGTTGCGCAGAGCTGCCTTGACCAAGGACCAACAACACCTTGTGCAGTCCCAGGTTGGCAAAACGTTGACACTGGGAAACGTGGAGCAAAGCCTTTTTCTGGTTTTTGGTCAAGACTTCAAGCAATCCAATCATCAAAGTCACCGTGGAAAATCATTCCCCAAGGGAAAGGGTCGTTCCAATGTGCACCATGCGGAAGATGATGAACATGAGTTTCAAGATGATTGGAGTGAAAACTACATGGATACCTACTACGAAAATGATGATGATCAATACTATGAATGTGATGAAGAATGGGATGAAACATACTTTGGTTCACAAGTTGACTGGTCTCCCACTGCCTCTGAGTGGAATCCGAGCGAAGCTGCCGTCCAAGACGAGTCGCTCTTCGATGTGGAGGAGTTCGATTCCGTCTACTCTGCATATGCCGATGCCAAGAGCCGACTTGCACAGTTGCGCCAAAGCCGTGGCTTCTACCCGGTTGTGGCACTGGTGGACGGCAAGGGTTCCAGCATGTCTCAAGGTGGGGGTAGTTCAAAGTCTAAAGGCCAAAGTAAGAAGGGATCCAAACAATCACCATATCCACCAAAGGGAAAGGGTATCAAAGCTAGAGGAAAAGCCATAGCGGGGGATCTAGTTTGTTTGAGATGTGGCAAGGCTGGCCACAAAGCTGCAAACTGCAAGAGCTCTTCTGCTGCTGCCTCTGGTGCCTCCTCTCTTGCAAAGAAGCGCCCCATTGACGAGTTCCATGAGATTGAGGAGACCTACATGCAAGGCGAATCTGTGGTGCGTGCTGGTGGATGGGTGACAAAGGAGCCCGACATGTGCATTCAAGACCAAGGAGCCTCTTCTTTCCTTGCTGGCAGCGAGTACATCTTGCGATATCTGAAATGGTTGGAAGTTGCGGGATACCCCATGAACACCATCTCCTTCAAGAAGTGCAACAAATCTTTTCGTTTTGGCGGCGATGCTGATGGACATGCCCGCTGGATGGTTGAGTTGCCCGTGCACTTCGCCAACATTTCAGGTCGAATGCAGTGCTTCATCGTGTTCGGAGCCACCCCAATGTTGCTTGGACGCCCAGTTCTTGAACAACTTGGTGCTGTAGTGGATTTTGGAAGTGGCAAGATGCGCATCCTTGGTGGCCGATGGACCGAGATCGAACGTGGCAAGCAAGATGCGATGCTTCTGCGACTTGCTGCAACCTTCAACTCCATCGAGGACTTTGAGAACCCGCAGTTCGACCTCAGAGCCAAGGATGATGATCACGATGATGCATGCTCTCTGCAAGATTTTCTTCAAGATCTACGTGCTGCCGAGCGCTATGAGGAAATGATCTCCGAGGTCCAATTCACCGACGACGCCTCTGAGAATGAGTTTGTTGATGTTGAGACCTATGTGAATGTGGATGAGCAGATTCCTGAGGAGCACTTTCATGCCCATGAGCTGACTGAACGCACTCAATGCTCAATGTCGAAGACCTGGTCATGGATTCAGGGTCAACTGGTTGAAACCTCCAAGAAAGCAGCCCAACTTGCCTATGAAGCTCGATGCCAACCTCACCCACGAAAGAAGCTCATTTGGGAAGTCTACAGTGGCACTGGACTTTTTAGGCGAACAAGCTGAACGCCTTGGTGCCGATGCCGATGTGATGCGTTTTGGACTCAACAATGGATGGGACTTCTCCAAATTAGCACATCGAAAACGTTTGATGGAACTGGCTTATGAGCTTGAGCCGGATGAGATCTACATGTCTCCCAAGTGCACACTTTGGTCTCCCATGCAGGCCATCAACATGCGTTGTGAAGCTGATTGGGATGAACTTTGGGAGCGTCGTGACTTCGACCATGAGATCCATCTGAAGTTTTGCAAGAAGCTGTACTGGTTTCAGGTGAAACGCGGAGCTCATGCACACATTGAACATCCACACCGCAGTGCTGCCTGGGAAACACCAGCCTTTGCCAAACTTCCAGGTGAACGCACAACCTTTGATCAATGTGAATATGGTTCCACTACCACAGTTGATGATGATGAAGTACCAATCATGAAAACCACCTCCATTCAGACCACAAAACGTGCGATGTGTCGCATCATGTCCAAACGATGCTCAGGCAACCATCAACATGCCCGACTTGAAGGTGGAAGCCGTTGCAAGAAGGCTGAGAATTACCAATGCGAGCTTGCCTGGAATTTAGCTCGTGCCCTTCTTGAAGATGAGGGTTTGTCGGAACAGGCCTATGCTGTTCAACAAGACGCCGAAGCTCAAGAGCTGACTGGAGTTCTTCGAAAACTTGGCACAAAGCATGGCTCTGAAGCGGTGCGCATTGCCTACCGCCTCCATCGAAACCTTGGGCATCCGAGAAAGGACACTTTGGTCCGCATGCTGCAGGCCAAGAATGCCGACCCAAAGGTCATCGCTGCAGCCGAAGCCCTTGAGTGCCCCTACTGCAACAAGTTTTCTTCCAGAAAACAATCAGCTCCAGCTCATGCCGAGCGTCCCATGGACTTCAATGAGCAGCTTCAGGCCGACACCCTTTGGTTTGATTTGAACTCAGTTGAGCCTGATGCCCCTTCTGACAAAGCTTCCAAGCGGAAGATTGGCATGTTGGTCATGGTTGATTCTGCAACTCGCTTCATGGCTGTGCGATCCATTCCTGATGAATCAAGCAACTCCCTCATGAAAGCAGTTGAACGTGAATGGATTCGCTACTTTGGCCCTCCGAAGCAGCTGAGCGTTGATGAATGGTCTGGATGGGGCAGTGACGCTATGATGCAATGGTCTGGCGACCACGACATAGAGATGAAGATTTCCCCTGGGCAAAGTCATTCACGAACTTCAATTGTGGAGCGAAGACACCAACTCCTTCGCAAAGCACTCTCCATCTTCATGACAGAAAATGGACTACGTGGCCTTGATGGACTTCACACGGCCTTGAACTGGACAGTGCCCACATTGAATCCATGTACCTTTGTGAATGGATTTACTCCTACGCAACTTGCCCTGGGAAAACAACCAAATATGCCTGGACTCATCTCTGACGAGCGCACTGGTCCAATTCACAAACTGAACAAGATCGACTACGACGACGACTTGAACTCAAAGCAAGTGCCCAAAACGCATGTGCTGTTGCGGAGATTGACGTCAAACTTCGACGTGCTCTACTCCGACGCTTTTCAGGTGCTGATGAAGATCTACAGCCAGGCGAACGATGCCTTTACTGGCGAGAAGTTGGCAATCGATTCCACACGGTTCAGTGGAAAGGCCCTGCCACGGTCGTTGCTGTCCAACGAGACCCAGACACTGGCACCATTGACACCTACTGGATTGCCCACGGCACTGTGCTCATCCGTGCCGGACGTCAACATGTTCGACGACTTGTTGGCCAAGAAGGTCTTGTCAATGGAGCTCAACGTGCTGAACAAGCCATCGCTGGTCTCCGTCAACGTCGAGTTGTCCGAACAGCCGACTTGCGGCGCATCAACAAGCACACCTTGGAGGAGCTTGAGGGTGAGATCTCTGATGGGATTTTTGATGAGCCCTCTCCAAAGAAAGCCAAGACCAACCATCCTCCTGATCAAGGTGAGCAAGATGCCCCGGCCGCACGACCTGCATCAGTGCGATCACTTTCCTATGAGCCAACTGAACCCATCGATGATTTGCCAAAAGATCCTGCTGAAGATCCACCTCTACCTGTGGCTGATCCGTCTTCTGGCTTGGACTTGCCAACGGATCCCGGTTTGGACTTACCGGATGAGTCAAGGCGCTTGGATCTGGATTTGCGCGACTCTGAAGAGCCACAACCCTCACAGCAAGCTGAAGCAGCAGCAGCGCCCTCCAGCGGAGAGGCAGGTCCTGGACTTATGCCTGAACCTCTTCCGCAAGATGTTCCAATCCCTGATGGTGATGACAGTGAAGCTGCTCAGCCCACCATTGCAGCTGACAACACCATCACCCAATCTTCAATGCCTGGGGCACCTCCACAACTTCCTGGACTTTCCTTTGCTGAACGCCGACGGCAACATGAACGAAGTGAGCCTTCTTGGATGCGATCTCCATGGTGGCCACTGGTGCATGATCACCCTGATCCTCAAAGCCCTGGCAATTCAAAGCGTGCCAAGCACCGTGAATCGGTCAACATCGCTGTCGAACTCTTTCCAAATGGCTGTGAAGGCTCAACCAACCTTCCAGCGGGATGGCACCATGATCCGAAAACCCATGAGATCTACCTTGGTTCCACAGCAGATTTTTCGAGCTTTGAAGATGGATTTTTGGTTAGAAACCATGTTTGGTCAAGGGATTGCACTTTTCATACAACAGATTTTCCCTTGCCTGCTGAGAAGCTCCAGACCACAAATGGCCTGACAATGAGACGCAACAGCCGCATCATCCTGGTCAACGAGGAGCAGTCTGCCCCTGTGGGTGATGAACCATGGTTTGGAAAGACCTTGTACCCACTGACCAAAGATGCTGCAGCTGAGTTTGGCCAAAACTACGTTGGCGACCTGTCCAAGAAGTTCAACAACAAAACCATCCGAAGCCGTGGCCATATCTGGTCTGCCCAAGCTGCGCCCAAGAAGAAGAACGTCAAGGATTCAGCTGACCTGAAGGAAAGCCGAATGAGTCTTGAAGACCGCCTGGCGTTCATCGAGGGCAAGAAAGCTGAGTTGACCTCCATTTTTGAGAATCAAGTTTGGGAGATTGAGCTCCATCCTGAGAAGGTCGATTGGAACCGCGTGATGAAAGCACGGTTTGTGCTGAAGTGGTCTGCCGGCAACAATGGCAACCCACGCGCAAAAGCACGTTTGGTTCTTCAAGGATTTTCTGATCCAGATCTACTACGAGGAGAGCTTGACACATCTTCCCCTACCTTGAGCCGATCCTCACGGCAGATTCTCCTGGCCATTGCAACTTGCAAATCATGGCTTATTTTCATTTCTGATGTTGCGACAGCCTTTCTTCAAGGCGATCCACAGAAGCGAATTTTGTGGGCCAGAATTCCCAAAGACGCTTGCCAGCTGATTGGTGTGCCAGCCGGTACACTGATGCGACTTCTCAAACCCATTTACGGGCAAGCCGATGCTCCAAGAAGATGGTTTCAAGTTGCCCGCAGAAGATTGATTGCTGCAGGATACCAACCACATCCACTAGATCAATGCCTTTATTGCCTTTTTCATGGTGATCAATTGGTTTCAATGATCGGCATTCATGTCGATGACCTCATCGGTGCTGGACTTGAATCCGATGAAGTCTACCAGAAGGCAAAACAGGCTCTTCATGAGAGTTTCAACTTCAAACATTGGACTGAAGGAAAAGAAACTGGTCAACTACAGTTTTGCGGTTGTGACCTTGAGGCTGATGGAAAAGGTGGCTGGTGGTTGCGCCAACAGGCGTACGTCCAAAAGATCAAACCTTTGACCTTGAGCGATTCAGATGAGAATCGTGAATTGACTGTCAAAGAACTGACAATGCTCAGTGGACTTCTAGGAGCGCTTCAATGGCCAGCAACCCAGACTTCACCGCACCTCAGTGCAAGCGTGAGTCTTTTGTGTGGCGAAGTGAGCGCCGCAGCAGTTTCCACAGCTACCCAAGCAAACAAGCTGCTTAGATTTGCCAAAGCCAACAGCGACGTTGGACTCCAAGTTTCTGACCTTGGCCAGCTACATGAGCTATGCATGATAGCCTTGAGCGATGCAGCCTGGGGCGTTCGGAAGAACCATGAGTCCCAAGGCGGCTACTTTGTTTTGCTGATGAACGTGAAAGCCCTGCAAGGTCAATTGGACCAACCCTACGTTGTTTTGGACTGGCGAAGCTACAAGCTCCCCAGAATCAGCCGCAGTAGCCTCAACTCTGAAGCACAAGCATGCGCTGGTGCAATGGATGCTCTTGAGTATCTCCTGATCTTCTGGCATGGATGTGTGACTCCTGGCTTTGACTTGCGCCACTTGGACGTCCACGACATCCAAATGCAGTCAGCCTTGGTGGTCGACGCGAAGGCACTCTACGATAGCCTGAAAGCCGAAGTTCCACAGATGCAAGGCGACCGAAGATCCAAGATTGAGGTCATGGTTGTGAAACAGAAAATGGATGAGATGAAAACGAAGCTGAAATGGATTTCATCAGAGACCCAACTGGCAGATGGTGTTACCAAAATTGCAGCACGGCAATTGCTTGCAGACCGCTTACAGTCCCATGTCTTCTCCCTGCATTCTGACCAGAGCTTCCAAGCAGCGAAGAAGAAGACCCTTGCTGAACGCCAAGCTTCAGCCAGGCGCAATGCGATTGGTCGTTTGCAGAAAGGCATTGGTTTTGCAGTGCTGACAAATCAACTTGAGCCAGTTCGAGGTGATGATTTTGCAGAAGATTCTTTTTCATCCTACAACATCATTTTCATCTTCACATTCCTCACCATGTTTGTGGCGACATTTTTTTTGGCATGGCAGTGTTTAGAAAGAATGACAAGGTCCCTGCCGAGACCTATGGCTGTACCTAGGTTTCAAACCTCAAGAATGCTCTGGTCACTGATGAGACCTTTTGCGTTCCTATGGAATCAACAAGCTGCGCTAGAAGATGTATCAACCCAAACCGAAAGTGGACGTGATCAAACTATTCACCTTTTGAACTGCAGAGTTCAGATGCTGCAACAGCAGGTGAACGACAAAGACGAAAGAATCCAAGATCTTGAAAGTTTGGTTCACTACTACGAGCAAGATGTGACATCAACCTCTTTGTTTGTGAGCCGAACTGGAGCACGATACCATTTGCATCGTGATTGCCGAGCGCTTTTACAAGCGAATCAAGCCGGCATACGAGATTTGAAATGCTGCAGCCAATGCATTCAGACGTTGCGTGACAACAGCAACCTGGGTGGACCGTGGTGAACTTTTCTTTCTTCTCCACCGGTGTGAGTTTGGTGCCACCAAACTGATCCATTTACCACTTTGCCAGGTTGGAACCACCACATGCAGCTGCAGAACCACATTGGGCGTTCTCGGCGCGGCCTCTTTGGCTTTTACGTGTCTTGCCTCTGGACAACGATTCCAGAGGGCCCTCTTTTGAGCCTAGCATTCGAAGCTACGCATGACAAAACAGATAGCACTCCTGCTTTGCATTTCGTGTTTGCACTTAGAGCGGCATAACACAACAAGATATCTTTCCATATCTTCGCAATACCAATTATACCACCGCTTCCCAAAGATCTCAATTATACAACTTGGATTCATGGGGTTTCCTACCACGAGTAGTACAATTCACTCTTTCATATCCAATCAACAATGGTAATGTTGGCAAAAAATAATAAACCACCCATTTGGGAATGGTTTATAGCATCTATAAAAATGGTGATTTGGGGCATGGTTTATATTGGTTTATTATTTTTTACCCACATGATTCTTGATGCCCCAAATATTGTCGCACTTACTCCACAACCCTGGCACCACCTGGCGCGTATAGTACCAACGCCACCGTGGCCGGCTGTGGCCCCAGAAGCGTCACGATGCGCCGCATGGCGGAAACGTCGGCACCGCGGCACCACTCAACGTCCAATAGCACATCTTCACCTTAGATCCACATGGAACCGCTTAAATTGGATGAAGCTGGATAAAATTGGGACATTGGGACATTGCACCTACAAAAATCTACACTTTACCCAGAAAAATGTGGACTTCAAAAAACGAACAAAAAATGTAATTTTGCGGGTTAACCAATCAATTCAACCAGCTAACTTGGGATTTTTGACTATCATCAAAAACCAAGAAAATTGGGGATTTAAACCACAGAACTGGATTGATCTAAGGGCGGATATCAGTGGGACTAATCAACAAATTGGGGGATCTAAGTGGGTGTCAGATCCAAACAAAGAAATTGGGGATCTACACGGCCAAAAATGGTGATTTCACCTGCCCCAATTGGGGGTGTTTTTTTTTTGGTTGTAAGGGATGGTCTACAGGTTTACGGTGAATTTTCCCTTCAACCAATTCTTGGAAACCCAGATTTTTGTGTTAAAAATGGCAAATAAACCAACAAAATGCATTCTAACCAACAAAAAATGGATTGGAGGGTATCCAACCATCCACTCATCCAACCATCCAACCGTCCAACCACCACAACAAAAGAAAACCACTCTATAAGTATATGCAACTAGCGTCCTTAATTTTTGCAAGTGGAATATAGGCCATATTTGGTTGCGAGGGATATCTCCCTACACCACGAAATCGAATGAAAGGAGCTGGCCCAGGTGGTTAGCCAAGTTAGTTCCATGTTCGCTAGGTTCACGGTTGAGCTTGTTGTGAGTACAGTCATCGTTGGGTGGATGTATCAATAAACCAACTAATGTAACTAGTGTCACCCACGTCCTACCGTTTGATATACGGATATATATATATATATATACATATGGGAGAAAACAGAAACATTCCATTACATACACTATTTGAGACCTCTACTCTATCCCAGCATATCCTACTATATATACAGATGGATTCGTCTGAAAAAATGCCTCACATTTTGATGGTCAATCATCATGTTCTCCATCAAAATTGCCATCAGTGGGTGAATCACTATCCTTGCAATGTTTGATGATGAAAGTGTCATGATTGCTCCCAACACCCCAGATACCTTGGGAGACTGAGGAAATTAGAAGATAAAATGACCAAGTTACCATGCATGTGGCTATCATTGTACCCAGAATTAGTTGAAGCAAACCTGATTTTGATTGGTCTTTCAGCCATATACCCAGTATCTCCTAGATTTTTCCCTACACATATATTTTTTTTTGGCAGAGGCACACAGTTGCAACGAAGCAGCGGCCTAGCACTCAAATTCTGAAATGTTCTCGACCGACCCTGAACTATACTGCCGCAAAATCAGGCCCTATGTAATCACCCTGGATGCCTTGATCCATTGCAACGCAGCGAGAGAGGAAGTGATGGTCGATCTGTACATCCGTTGTCACTTCTCCGCTAATGGCTGCAAAAGTTGCTTGGGCAATCGCCCCGCAGAATGCCGGGGGATACTCCTTGAGCTGTGCAGTTCGAAATTGGCCTGTTGCGTCACGGCCGATGTTAGTGTGCCGAGGGACATCAGGTGTCAACCTCCACTGAACAATCGCGGCCGGCAGTGTCGGGAGATTCAATGCAATAAGCTCGGTTGGCTTGCTACTGTCAGCACCTAAAAGGCCTTGAGACAGCTTCAGCCGTCGCATGCCCGGAAGCTGGAAAAGCAGCTGCATGATTGGCAGCTTCCATATGGAGGGCGCCTCAGAAGCTTCAGGTTCGGCCGGGTGCTCAACGATGCTGCTGCGAGCTTGAAGAGCAAGTTCACCAAGCGCCAAGATGCAAAAGCCGAGGAGCACGTTGCCATCCAGGATTTGCCGCAATTCACGTAGTGCCAGGGAAGGTAATCCCCATAGGTGATCTGCCGAGCGCACTGGTCTGGGCCCTTTGCAAGGCTCCTGCCCCTTGAGCACAACTCCGCGGGCTTTCGACCAAGTGCAACAAGGAGGACCGCCCAGGAAGGAATGGACCCATCCTGCGCGGATACCAGCAAGCCAAAAGTCTTGAACATCTGCTCGACTGAGATCTCCATAGTGGCGATCGATCATAATATCAATCGACACCACGTGTAGCAGCAAGCCCGAGGCTTCACTCTTGAGCGACTCGAGGTACCATTGGTAGTCACCCAGGCGCCTTCGACCCGCAAAGGCATGAAGGACGATGCGTTCTTTGCCGATGGGTCGGGGTGCATGCAGCGGTGTCCAAACTTGTTGGTGAGGCTCATCTGCACAGAGTCGCTGACACCAAAGTTCGTAATGCGCAAGCGCTTCGTCTGGTTGAAAAGAACACGTTCTCCGCATGTGTAGGAAGGGCCAATGTTGGGGGTCAAGGAGAACTCCAACAATGTCCATCACCATGGCTCGCTCAACTCCAGTGATCTCTTCCATCTCATGGTTGTATTCCTCTTGGAAGACTTGCAGCGTGATCTTGCATTGCGTCCAAGAGATGATCGTTGCTGTGATCTGCTTTTCAAAACTCGCCAAGAGCACAGAACGCGAGCCTCCAACTTCCAAAATTTTTACCCATTCCTCAATCAGCGCAGAGTGCTCCAGATCTCGCGCTCGTAGAAGTCTGTCAGGCAGTTTGGGTCCTTGAGCTTGGAGAGGTGGCAGGAGGCCATCGTGTTGACGTTGTTCAGCACGCTGAGCAAGTGAGCCGATACCATCTGTTGGTTCCAGGTTGTGTCGGCGTGCATGGAGGGAATCACGGCAAATAGTGCTCCACTGCAGATGTCTCTGGAGCTTGCCACGGGTGTGGTACTCCTTCAAGCAATGGGGACACTGGGAAGTATCGCAAAGTCGACGGACTGCCGCAATGACTCAATGATCAGCCATATACCCAGTATCTCCTAGATTTTTCCCTACACACACACACATATATATATAGAGAGAGAGAGAGATAGAGAGAGAGAGAGAGATAGATAGCAACCCAAAAATCATTAGATCAAAAGTTGGAAATCTGTTTAAAAAAATTGGGTTTTCACACTTTTCGGCATCTTTTTCTATGGGTTTTTCAACCATCGTTTTCCCCATCGTTTCACTCCGCTGGACTGCGGCACTGGTGGTCAACACCGTCACCGGCTCCCGCGAGCCCTCGGCACGCAGCAGGTAGAGGCCATTGGCGCCGTGGCCGTGTAAGGTCCTGACCCGTTAGCCTCTGGTAATTTGTCACAAATAGCTATTGAAAATCACCATTTATAGTGGATTTTCCCATGAAAAATGGTGATAAATCACCATTTATAGTGGATTTTCCCATTAAAAATGGTGATAAATCACCATTTATAGTAGATTTTCCCATGAAAAATGGTGATAAATCACCATTTATAGTGGATTTTCCCATGAAAAATTGTGATAAATCACCATTTATAGTGGATTTTCCCATTAAAAATGGTGATAAATCACCATTTATAGTGGATTTTCCCATTAAAAATGGTGATAAATCACCATTTATAGTGGATTTTCCCATGAAAAATGGTGATAAATCACCATTTATAGTGGATTTTCCCATTAAAAATGGTGATAAATCACCATTTATAGTGGATTTTCATAGATTTTCCCATGAAAAATGGGTGGATTTTCCAGTTCGCTATGTGAAAGTTTACCAGAGGGTATCATGGAATATATTGTCAGTTCATGTGGTTTTTGGACATCTTTTTGGTCATCTATAAATCTATAGCTGGATTTTGTGGGAGGCAAAAAAAGGGGCCATGGTTTCCATGGCTATGTCAAAAAAAAACCGTTTGGGTTACCATCAACTAGCGATTTGTTGGTGAATATGGGGTTTATAAACACCTATAGCCTATGAATCTACTGGAGTTACCCAGGTATCTCATAGCCGTGGAAGATCACCATATTTCATAGGTAAATGACGGTAAATGGACTATAAATTGCTATATTCAATAGCTATGTTAAAATAGCAGAGGGTATTGGTAGATATTTATGAGGCAACATCGTGCAATATGAATAAGAATATTATCATATCTAGTAATCAACTATATTGATGAAAGATTTACTTGTCAATTTTGGCAAATGGCTATATGTATTCTGGTTGCATTATGATAATTCACCAACTTGAAACTGGCTGAGACTTGCACCATTTCGGGATGATTCCCCGAATCCAATTCCCATCATTCCAGTGACGTCACGACGTGAGGTCCATTGGGTGTACTAATATGAATACCAGTAATAACGTATAATAATTAGTAATTAGTAGTACTCCCTGTACTTTTTGGTGGGAACCATCCCCAATCTTGGGTCTACACAATATAGTAGTAATAAATCGTATCGTCCAATGAATGGTTAAGAGTGGCTGATGGTGTTGTGTACTGGTTGATAATTGTCAATAATGATAATAATGGTTGTTGCTTAACCCCCTTTGTGCTATTCATATTGGAAACACCCCCTTATTCTCTTGTCTTTGTCAACCCCCTACTAAACCATAATTTCTAGGTGTGTTTCATATTTGGGAGAAGGGATCACATGGATTTGCCACACTGCATTTTTCTTGGTTCACGTGTTTTCGTTTGCTGGGCTTTTTGTTGATTCAATTCATCTTCAAGAATCCCTTTCCCACGGTTCAGAAAGGAAAATTGTGAAAATGTTGGAACTACCACGTTTGATGAATCTCGCCCAATTTCCTTGACCATCCAAGCCATTCATTGCAGGTACGGACCTCACATTCGACCCTACCGCAGCCTCACATTCGACCCTACTCCAAAATAACGTCATGCAGCCTCACATTCGACCCTACCCTAACAAAAATATGCAACCCTTCCAGGAAAAAAGGCCACTTTTTCCGGTTCACATTTGACCCTACCCCACTTTAACCTGCCTCAAACCAGAAAAATTACATTCATTGCTATCAAATCAACCAGCCCCCCTTGCACAACTACATTCATTGGTATCAAATCAACCAGCCCCCTTGAACCATTACATTCATTGGTATCAAATCAACCAGCCCCCCTTGAACAATTACATTCATTGCTATCAAATCAACCAGCCCCCCTTGAACAATTACATTCATTGGTCTCAAATCAACCAGCCCCCCTTGAACAATTACACTCATTGGCATCAAATCAACCAGCCCCCCTTGAACCATTACATTCATTGGTCTCAAATCAAACAGCCCCCCTTGAACAATTACACTCATTGCTATCAAATCAACCAGCCCCCCTTGAACAATTATATTCATTGGTATCAAAACAACCAGCCCCCCTGGCACAATTAGATTCATTGGTATCAAATCAACCAGCCCCCCTTGAACCATTACATTCATTGGTATCAAATCAGCCAGCCCCCCTTGCACAACTACATTCATTGGCATCCAATCAAACAGCTCCCCTTGAACCATTACATTCATTGGTATCAAATCAACCAGCCCCCTTGAACAATTACATTCATTGGTATCAAATCAACCAGCCCCCCTTGAACCATTACATTCATTGGTATCAAATCAACCAGCCCCCCTGGCACAATTACATTCATTGGTATCAAATCGACCAGCCCCCCTTCAACCATTACATTCATTGGTATCAAATCAACCAGCCCCCCTTGAACAATTATATTCATTGGTATCAAATCAACCAGCCCCCCTGGCACAATTATATTCATTGGTATCAAATCAACCAGCCCCCTTGAACAATTACATTCATTGCTATCAAATCAACCAGCCCCCCTTGAACAATTATATTCATCGGTATCAAATCAACCAGCCCCCCTTGAACCATTACATTCATTGCTATCAAATCAACCAGCCCCCCTTGAACCATTACATTCATTGGTATCAAATCAGACAGCCCCCCTTGCACAACTACATTCATTGGCATCCAATCAAACAGCTCCCCTTGAACCATTACATTCATTGGTATCAAATCAACCAGCCCCCTTGAACAATTACATTCATTGGTATCAAATCAACCAGCCCCCCTTGCACAATTATATTCATCGGTATCAAATCAACCAGCCCCCCTTGAACCATTACATTCATTGCTATCAAATCAACTAGCCCCCCTTGAACCATTATATTCATTGCTATCAAATCAACCAGCCCCCCTTGAACCAATACATTCATTGGTATCAAATCAACCAGCCCCCCTTGAACAATTACATTCATTGGTATCAAATCAACCAGCCCCCCTTGAACCATTACATTCATTGGTATCAAATCAACCAGCCCCCCTTGCACAACTACATTCATTGGTATCAAGTCAACCAGCCCCCCTTGAACCATTACATTCATTGCTATCAAATCAACCAGCCCCCCTTGAACCATTATATTCATTGCTATCAAATCAACCAGCCCCCCTTGAAACAATACATTCATTGGTATCAAATCAACCAGCCCCCCTTGAACAATTACATTCGTTGCTACCAAATCAACCAGCCCCCCTTGAACAATTACAGTCATTGATATCAAATCAACCAGCCCCCCTTGAACAATTATATTCATTGGTATCAAATCACCATCATCATCATCATCATCATCATCATCATCGTCGTCATCATGATCATCATGATCATCATCATCATCATCATCTTCTTCATCATCATCATCATCATCATCATCACCATCATCATGATCGTCCATCGTCATCATCATCATCATCGTCATCATCATCATCACCATCATCACTGTCATCATGATCATCATCACCATCATCATCATCATGATGATCGTCCATCGTCATCATCATCACCATCATCACCATCATCATCATAATCATCATCATCATCATCATGATCATCATCATATCCGGAACCTTCTTTTCGCAGCTAAAAACGCTACTTTCTCACATTCGACCCTACCCCAAAAGGGGGGTAGGGTCATATGCGAAACCATTAGGGTAGGGTCAAATGCGAGGCGCGTACCCCATTGCAGGGACTGGGTGGCAGACTAGATGGAACCAACCATACGCTTTGATGATTGGAGTCACTGACTTTGGGTATCTGGGGCTGACCTCACTTACAAGTGGATACAATCAGCAAGCAGGGTAAGCAAATTCACCAAATTGGTAGGTGATGCTCTATCTTCTCCAGCCTCTGCCCTCTAGTAGTCAAACCGCACACTGGAAAACCCTCGCGTTAGTCGGGAAAACTATCAACGACTCGCTGGAGATGCAAACTTGAGGCCCAGGGGAAAGTGACAAAAGCTAGCTTGGCAAGTGACGAAGGCTAGCTTGGCAGGGAGATGCAGGGAGCTTGGCAATCTTCGCAAACTCATCTGTAATGCCAAGGCAACGCTTTCCATGTCTTGGTGCGAAATGAAGGGGACACATTGAAGGGGATCAATGTCACATATGAGGAGAACACGAATATATCACGCGCGTGAACATAATGAGGAAACTCCCACTCAGTAGCGTGGCAGTCACTAAGCACGAAGAAGATTCAAGGGTCCACCTGCAGCATCGGAGTGGGCCTTTCAAGGCTTAGAAGTCGCAAGAGAAGAAGATGTTGGAAGCGCGGCTCAGTAGGATGTCATGAGGACAAAAAGCGGAAGCATGCCAGCGCAATTGCCCCGCATCTTTCCAAACTCATCTGTATGAATTATGAAGGAATATTACTTTTTCCAAGACAAGCTCGCCATTGTGAGAACTGACTGGAAACTACATGTGAAGGCTCAAAATGAAAATGGAGCTACGATTTAGGGCTCGCCATGAACATGCCGATAGTGAGCGGCGCTGCACCAGTGACTTGAAGCATGTGCTCTTGATTATTGACGACGCCAATGATGCTGAGGATGCGGATGCTTCCGATTTTGCTGTGGGAGGCGACATACCAACGGCGTCCCCGGGCGGGATTTAGCCAAGGCCAAACTGGTTGTGAACCAGCCAGCCAGGGGGGGTAGATAACTATGAAGTTTCATGCGATTGGAGATTCCAGCCCCCCAATACATTGCTAAAGCAAGAGGGACTTCAGCTAGTAGAAGCTAGCTTTCGTGATTTGGAACTCGAAGTTGACCATGTGTCAGGAAAAAACTTGCAAATCAGCCATCATTAGCCATCTTGACACAGAAAAAAAAACACAGAAGGTTTACCTTCCATGGGAATTCCATGGGTTTTCGGGCCTGAAGGCCAAGTCTTCCTCCGTGAGCTCTGAGGAGTGCACCAGCAACAGCAGGTCCTTTCCTTCAGACCTCGCGGAAGTGACGAAGTGACAGGGTCATGCCCTTCTTGTCGTTGGTAAAGGCATATAAGAAATGGGGCGATGGCTCGTGAAAACTGAGAAAAAACTGGAAAAATGATTCAACCGGTGGCTGAACTAAGCCTATAGAATATACACAGTGACAGTGATTTGTTGTTTGGAAGGTTTCACCCAGTTGGCATCACCAGTGCTGAACTTGACTAGCAGGACAGCGTGCCTCTATTACTATTGACGCTCCATTTTTGCAGCTATATCACTGAGGTCAATATCCAATGCATAAGTGGCTCATGTATCAATGGTGATGAACCACCATGCAGACCGGGAGGGTTCTAGACCTGGCTCTCCACTGAGGTTACTGGGCAAAGCGGTTGCCTGGTGCATCTTCAGATCATCAGGTGAAATACTGCCAACCAATCACCGGACAATCCAAGTTCGGGGCGAGCCAATGAAGTCCCGTTCATAAATGGGATTTCTATGGTTTGAATTTATGTGTCCTCTTTTCACTGCACCTGTCTACTTCAAACCAAGTCGTCCTCCTCTCTTTTCACCCCATGGCACCTTGCCACCCCAACCTCGCCCACATGAACCCAGCTTCGGTTCCCACTTCATCGTCACCCAGGCGGCGCTAGAAAACAGCCCCTTGGTCAACACGGGTCGCGCAGTCTTGGCACAGTCACTGAAGACCCGCACCATGGCAGGGCCGCAGCTGGAAGGGGCCGGAGAGAAGGTGGCGAAGTAGCAGCTTCTGTTGGCACCTTCCACCTTGGGGATGGGCATTGCTCCATGGGAGATTTCATCAAAAGGGAGGAAATGTCCAACCTGCAGAGGGGCAGGTATTTGTGGGATTTTGCGGGAGGGAGTCGTCCAAGCTGATGGGAGCTGCTGTGAGGCAAGACATCATTTTAGAAAAGAGAAGATTGAGGAATTTAAGAGGACTCTTGAGCGGACGGGGGATTGAAAATATGACGTTTTAGATGGAGCTTTGTCAACAAGCTCTGCCCTTTGACCGGGGCCACTTTTGGCCACCAATCCCGAATCCCAACCCCTTGAATATTCCCTCCGGCTTCGCGAGCCCTTTTGTTTCTGCCCAAAAGCCCCAACAAATTGTTGCTCATGATCACGAGTTCCCATATGCGGATGGGTCAAAACCCTGGTACCTAGTGAACCCCAAAATAGCTGGTAAATGGATGTTCATCCCACTAAAAATGTATCTATAGGTATTGACCCATACCCATATCTGGAAACCCCCAAGATAGATATTGCCACCAATATCTAAGGCTCATCCCCATCTCCCATCCATCTCCAAGCTTCGGCTGTGAAGCTGGGCGAAATCATCAGCTGACTCAGATGCTGCACCTGGATTCGACTCAAGAGCTGCGAGGGTTTCTGGCCATCCAAGACCAGGACCTCATCCGTCACCAAGCGCAAGGCAAAACGCTCAGTGGAGGTCCATTGGATCCTCGTGGAGAATGGCTAAAAAATGCCGAGACTTGAAGTCACCAAAGATCGGGGGCTGAAGTTTGGCAAGCCAAAAGTGGGGGTTACAGCAAAAGCTGCAGCAAAACACCGGGGGTCTACCAACAAAACAATGCTGCACGTATGGATTGCAAAAAGTTAGCCCATCAACCGAGGTTTTCCTAACTCAATGGCATTTAGGAGCTGTAAAACCAGTTGAGGGGGTAACTACGCATCAGTGGTATAGTATATGATGAGATGTTTCCTTGAAATTTCCCGGTTGTATATGAGGAGGAGCATCACACACTTGCAGGTCTGCATTCGGAACGGGATTCCCCGAATGGATTGTGACATTGCCCACAATGTTGGGCAATGTCTAATCCCCGAACAAAATCATCAACCAACAAGAAATTATAAGAAATTCATGTCTCCAATGATATCCACTTTTTTCAGCGCAAAACCCATGGTTTTCCTAGGATTTTGGGTGGGTTTCCCATCACCAAAAAAAAAAGAACCAACGAACCGCCGGGCGTCGGTGGCCAGCGCAAAGGCGAGATGTGCGGCGCGAAGAAGCGCGCCAAGGCGTGGGCGAAGAGCCACCCGGAGCCACGTTTCCTCAACGCGCAATGCGCGCTGGGTGGGAGAGACGGCTGGATGACTCAAGTCATCAACGAGTTGGGTTTACTTGTAATGAATGAATGTGAAGCCACACAAAAAAGAATGCTGGCTTAATAAGCACAAGTTAGAATTAAGTAGAGATTTGAAGTTTCGATTCTTGTGTGGGCGTGCTATATGCTTATTCTTAAGCACCAAGAACCACCGATGCCAGATCTTAATCGTCTGTTGGGTGCGTCACCAAAACGGCGGGTGCTTTCCTAAATCCCCATGGTGGGTAATCGAACAAAAAGATGGGTGGGTTTACTTGATGAAAATACCGATATTAATCGTCACTGAATGGTCTTTTTAGACTTAGGGAACTTGATCCAATCCCATCTCTGGATCATTTTTTTCAAGTCTGGGGATGATCTTTTTCACCGCATGGTGTCCAGGTGTCTATTTTAATCTGTTTTATCTAATTATGTTGGGCTTCTTATATCCAATTTTCCAACAATGACAGGGGTTTTTGCTGACATTCAGCCACGTGGATCCAAACCATTAGAATGATTGGTTTGCGGACATTCTCATGATGGATGATTTAAGGATGATTATGTCGGCATACAAGAATTCTATGCCCATTTTGCACCAGCCAAGAGTTGTTGTTTTTTCAAGATCTTCATGTGGATTGAGGTTGGTTCGGAAATCAGTCAGGTTCAGGTGGATAACAATCTTCTATTTTGGCCGCCTGTTTGGTGGACATGATGTTTCAAGCATAGATGAGCGATGAATATGAACCTGATTGAACTTGCGATGGAACTTGCTTCCTCTCCAGTAAACCAACATGGAACATGGCCCATTTATAGATGATTTACCTCGTAAAAATGGCGGGTTTCCAGTTCACCAACTGCAACACATTACATCACATCACATTACCAGAGGGTCGTGGTAACTTCCTGGGTTGATTAGAATCGAATCACTACCAGCAGCTACCTGAAATCCCGAAAATCTGCAGGGAACACGGCCCTTTTCTCGGCTTAGCGGCAGCCGCAGCCGCAATGTGGCCGATCGCTGGATTTCCTCGCTGAGCGCCTGCGCGTCGGAGCTGGCAACCTCGTTGACGGCCAGCACCTGGCATGGGGATGTGGGGCATGTGGTTTATTTATGTTTATTTGGGGTAAACAAAGCCCTCTATTGATCAACATGATCAACCAACCAATGGGAAAAGGACATCTATGGCAGTTTTTTAAATGAGGGGGAAAAAATCGTTCTCATTGGAAGGTTGCATTTTCAGGGCCAACAAAATGGGCCGATGTGGGATGTGCCGTGGCACGACGCGTGCCGGCACGACCCAAAAGGTAGCCCCGCCTGGTCACCAGGCAAGAGCATCTGCTCCGGGCTGCTCTTCAAAACCTGGGCGTATATCCCCATTTGTTCACCTCTTACTGGATAAAGAGATAGCCTATTTTCAGACAAACCCACCAGTTGACCAAAGAGCCGTGGTCGTTTCTACCAAGTGAAGTGACCATTCGAAACGACGGTTTCCACGGCGCCACGCCTGCAGGTTGTGCTGATGCACCAGCCCTTCGGGGTCCACGCGCCGCAGTAGCAAGCCACTCTTACCATCCAGGTGATCCACGTTGATGCCCAGCTTGAGGGTGCCATCCTGGGAAATTCACAACTTCGCATAACTTCGCCAGAAAATTCCAGGTTCTTCTGAATATTTGTGAATGTTCAAGAAATTCTGGGAGATGCTCATCAACACTTTCTTCCAAGATATGAAGAGTGGTTGCATCTTCGAACAATTTGAGGGTGAAAAGTGTGGAATGGAACCAGTTACGATTCCCAGAATCCAGATCCTCGCTTGCGAACCAAAGATTTCAAACCAAAATTCAGGCTTCCAACATCTTCCAACCCTTTTCAAAGTTCAAGAACTTACCACATGCTCCAACAGATATTCCATCCCGAGGCCCCCAACCCCAGCTGCTCCTTTTGAATCGTCACCTCCAAGTCCTTCTGCTGCGGCGGTCGTCGCGTCAGCGCCCAGACGCTCAGGTTCTCCGCGCGTCCGAAGGCGGGTGAGCCCTTGCCCTTGGGGCCCTTGCCCTTGCCCTCCATGCGCAGAGAGGTCATGTGCTCCCATGTCACCAAAAACCTGGGCACAAGCTGCCAAAAATGTGGCTAAGACTTGGAGACTTTGGATGAAGAAAGAGTGACATTTCTTTAGCTGGCAGGTGTAATCAAAGTAGGTCTACCAGAAAATTGGAACCCCCAAAACCTCAAATCAGGTCCTCAACTACACCTTTGCTGGTGTTAACCTGCTTTGATACCTTTGCAGGATCACTCACAAAAGGTCGTTCATCAAAAAAGTAGAATTTAGAGAAAATTGCATGTGCATATATACAGTATATACATATGTATATATATATACATACATACATACATATATATATATACTGTATGCAGATATCAAGTCCCACAGTTTCGACCCAGACCCATCTTCCCCAAAGTAACGAAGCGCCACTGGAGAAGTAGCACCTTGCAATTGGGCCTTGCCCCGGCACTTCGCAGGGCGCGCCCATGGCAGCCATGGCAGTATCCCAGATGCCAACCAAGCCGTTGGGCTGGAGCATGGCCTCGCTGCACCCAGTTCCCCTGCGGTCATGAAACGTGAGGAAAACCCCGAGATATTGCTCGGTAGGAAACTCATGGAACTTCGGAAAAAAATTTCAGCCACGTTTGATTTGCCAGAGGCTACACCTATTTTTCATGTGTTGGATATACCCTCTGGTAATTTAACATAACTATGGAAAATCACCATTTTCAATGGGAAAATCTACTATAAATGGCCATTTTCAATAGCTATGTTAGTTTACCAGAGGATACCGAACAAAACATGGGGTTCTGGATGAACCACTGAAAAACCAACGGAAAATCCATCGCCACGTCACCAGCAGACCGCTTCCGGCATGGGGCACCAAGCACTCGGGATGCCCTGGCTGCGCCCTCGGCAGGCTCTGGACCAACTTGGGAGGCGACTTGGGCTCCACCTGAAGACCATGTGGAATTCCGCTGGCTTTGGATGGTGAACCCATGGGAAAACTCATTTCGGAAATGACAAAATTGATGTGGGATTTTAATATTATTTTATATTTATGGGATAACTTAACCCATATAACAGAAAATAACTATTTTTTAGGAAGCTGATTTTCCGAACAAAAACAAGAATTCCATGGGCATGTTATAGTTGATTTTGTGATAACTATAGTTGGGGGCCACATGGGGATGGGTCAAAACCAGCCATGTCTACCAGGCAAAAAGGGATCCACCCCCAGGCTATCGGGATTCACTCGAAAAAAGTCTCGGTGAAGCCATATCTATGGCAAAATTACGAATACACGATATGTAATTATATATATACACATATATATTATGGAATGGTGTTGACTTCTCACCCTATGTTGTGGGAATATTTTTTGTAGGAGGGAGATGACCATTGGTTTTGGGATACCAATAGTTCACAAGGGAATCAATGGGAAAATATACCAAATAATTTGATTTGGCCGATCAAAGCCCTGGAACCCTGGTCGGAAAAATAGATGTTCATCCCCCCACTAAAAAAAGTACGGCAGGTCTTGATATCAGTCCCCTTTTTGATCGCGTTTATTAACCAAACGTAGTGAAGATAATATCGTGAGACATACCAGGAATCTAACCAACAATGTGGGGATATAGAATGATATCAAGCTTCAGCCCACTTTTTTTTGTCTCTTTACGCTGGACAAAATTGGTTGCTTCATACGGGCTTCCCATGGGCCGGTCTTAGGATGGCGCAGAAACCTGGAAGACCTCGGAAATTGGAGGAAAATATCATCCATGGCATCCTTCAAAAACCATATTACTAAATTACTATATTGGGATATACTAAATTACTATACATATCATCCATCTTTTTGGGATTACATGGGATGACTATATATATATACATACATATTTTTAGTCTGTCGTGTTCTGTCGTGTTGTCCCCCAAACAGACCAACCTGGTAGATGTGGGTTCCATTCACCGCTGCCACGATGAAATTCATCGGAGCTTGTGTCGGCGGTCCATCATGGCATCATCGCTCCACTGGAAATGCTGAAAAACTCCAGTGGATCGAGACACAAACCATCGACCAGAGAGGGTTTTTTGGGATGGTGAGATTTTTGTTCGGATCTGAAAAATGTCTGGATTGGTAAAACCTGGTCAAATCCATGTGCTGGTGAAAAACCCTGGTCTCCCGCAAGTCTCTCTGTTGCGTAGCATGCCCTCGCATGCTTGCATGTGGACTTTCGAGGCGCAAACGCGCCTAGGGACTTCGATGCTGACGGTGCCCCACACCGCTTTACATCAATCTTGCGCTTTCAATCTTGCATGACTCGACTCTGCAAGCTTAAAGTTTGAAAGTTTGAGCCAAAAGAGAAAGACTAATGACAGTGGCAGCGCATGGCAGCGCCACACGAGTGTGGGCTCACGGGCCAGATCAGGTTCGCCGAGCCAAAAAGGAAACAAAACAAGTTACTGATGCCCTTCCATCTTTCTCTCAAATATGTGCCCCTATATATCTCTCTATGTACATATATATACATATTATTTATATACATATATATATATACATATACATTATACATTCGTTTCTAGATGTTTTTAGGCCACTGTCACTTCCCCAATATTTTCAGTCTTTGACGATCATTGTCTTGAGGCCTTTGTCGGTCCCTAGAAATTCCCCGGACTTTTTCCTTTGCTATGCAGGAAAGGGCTTCACTCCGAAGACGATGCCCACAGCCAACGCTAGCAGCAAACCACACCTCCAGCCAAACAAGCGGCTTTGATGGGTGTGTGTCACAAGCTGAAAAAAAGGTTAACCATTTCTTCCCCCAGACATCTTGAAAGTTGCGCCTCTTGGCCCCACTGTGCGGCAGCGCCGCCTTGGAAATGTCTCGCATTGTCACAAGAACCAAGTGCGACCATGTGTGAAATGTGTGGACCCTGATGGGTGTTCATAAAGCTTCCGACATTTGGGACTCACTATTCTCGGTGTGCTGCAGCAAGCAGTATTTTCGGCAGAAAGTCTGATCTTTCGTGACTGGGATGAGCCCCCCGGTGAAATCTCACATCAAAGCCATGAAAGAAAAAAAGAAGTGTAGAAGCTGATTTTCGAAAATTGAATCATTCGCCTGCGATCATTTTTCCATGCCTTAATGGTCACCCTGACTTTAGGAATCAATCCCTTCCCCCTAATCAACACCCCCAAACGAAACATGGTTTAGTCGGAAATTTCTCCTGTGGGGACCATGCAATGGGGGTGTTGAATAAAAAACGGATGGGATGGCACACCTCCGCCGAAGAGTTGCCAGCCTTCGCCTTCGAGCGTTGGCCGCTGGGTCAGGTCAGGTCATGGCAGGCCGCTGGGAAATCCCGGAAGCAGCTGGGTTAGGTGTATAGCTGGGAAAATGACATTGGAAAATCATGGGAAAAATTAAAATGTAGGACAAACCATTCTAAATGGAAGTTTTGAGCTGGGATCATCGAACTCAATGGTGGAGCTTCCACGCCATGGAGCTAACTACCAGAAGGTACCTAGGCTCGTTCCGAGGGCTTGAAATTTTGGTTGACCCATTGGTGTCAGACTGAGGCTGGTGGCGAGCCGATCAACACGAAGCCAACAATTCCGCCCCAAGCCGCACCAGGCGTTGCGCTTTCGTTTTCAAGGCAGCTTCATTGACCGCAAGCCTGGGTGACAACACTGCCTGGTGGTTTCAACGCTGCCTGGGCATCAAAAATATGGGAAAATCTCCTGTTGGTAGATGATCTAGCTGCTAAACCATGTTGAGTGGGGAAATAGCATGTAGGGAAAGCCAAGGTCAACAAGTTCCCAGTCGCAGAAACCCAGGTCACTAGGGTTCCATACATATCTATATATATACAAATTTCTATCCACCGATCTACCTCCATCCCCTTCCTCCCCTCTATCTCTCTGTCTCTCTGCGGTTCTAAATCCCCTGCTCAGATAGTATAACTTCTCAATTTAGAGCATTACTACTACATATCCCACATTCGCATGATGATCTCCATTTTTGGTTCTGAAATCCCTATTCATGCAAAAATCACCGTTGGGGGTTACTACAAACTGCTGCATATCCTACGTTCTCATGACATATAATCCCCATCGTTAATTGTGAGCTCTCTCATTTTTCATGGATTTTTTTGGTGGGATTATCCATTCTCCCTAACTAATATTAAACCACCATGAGAAAACCACGTTGAGTTGGGGATTTGCTATGAATCGCCTCATCATACACCTAGTGCTGCCAGGCTCTGGCCCCACAAAAACCGACCGGTGGCTGTTGCATCGCCCGGCGGTACTTTTTTTTCGCTTCATTCATCTGATCCTGGCGGGGCCAACGGGCCAACACAACGTATTTTCACAACGTTGTGATCCGAACTTGCCTTGGCTAATCATAGAAACCCTTCTCGAGAAATGAACATCTGCAGGCGATTTTGATGTTCACTAAAGGCAGAGGCTTTCCACCTCCTTTCCGTATCTTCCATGGATCAGCACCCTGCCTGCTGGTGCAAGGTTTCCTTCCACAAACGAGTCTCCTGAGCAGTAACCTGGCTGATCTCCCCATTGAAAATGACTGGACTGGTGGAAGGAAAAACAGCAAATCCCCAACTTTTGTTGTTTGATCTCCCCTAACCTCCTTCTTGAACCGCTTAGCTGCCTCCTGTCAATAGATTGGGAGGCCAAAAAAACGGTTGAACCCATGCTTTCTTCTCATCAAGTAATAGAGTTTCCAGTAGTTTTCCCTTCAACCATTTGGTTTTGCCCGAAAATTATGGAACAGAATCATTCCATCCAATGCTCGAAGACTCGAAGGCCTCATGTTCCCCATGAAAAAATTGCACCAGGGCGTCCCATCCCCCACTTTCAGCGTCCCGCACCTCTTCTGCTTGGCCGTGCAACCTCTCGTAGTCTTTTTCGGCTGCCTTCAGCTCCTTCCAGGCAGCTACACCGGAGCACAGGACCTTGGACCTTTGGCGCCCATGAAAGTTGTCACTTGAATGTCTCCACTGGAATATCATGTTTTAATGGGGATTGAATGGGATAGAACGGAGGGGATATTTCATAGGAGGTATACAAGCAACCAACACTATGATGTTTGATCTTGTGCCCGCAAAGAAAAAGTATCCAAAAAAATACTACATGAATAGGGACCCCAATGGGAAGTTTTAACCTTTCGCTATGCTCAGGTAACACCAGTTTTTCCAATCCCAAGAACCCCATCCAGGAATCCAGCTGGTCAACTCCCAGCCCCTTCAATAAACATAGCCGCAATGCAATATGAAATCCCCATAAATCCCCCATATGGGCAGAAGTTGCCATGGAAATCGCCTGATGTTTTTGTGAATCAACCCATGATGCCATGCCGCCTCAGAGATATTGCTCTTGGCAACCTCTGCTGTGAGGTTCACCAACTCTTTCTGTGAATCCGCCAGATAAGTTTTCCTGAGGGTTGCCCCACTTGGCGCCGTGGAGCAAGGGACCCCCAGGTCCATAAAAAACATCACATTTTAGGCCTTGATGAAATCCTGCAGTTATAAATAGTTACAAGCACATCAATTGAGGGTGGACCCAGTTGGGCATTTTTCTATCATTGTACAATAGCAGCCTAGTGGTCAACAGTTTTGGTAAGCATGTTTCTTTGCCACTGGCCCTGGCCTCTGAAGAAAGGACCCCTCAAAAAAACAAGCACAACAGAAAGAAACAGGCATGAAACCCAGCCCTCTCCATGCACTTGAGGAATTGTCATTTCTTTTCCGAATAATCGGGTTTGATTGAAAATTGTCCCAAAAAAAACAAAAAATTGTTAAAACATGTTAAAACCCCTAAACATAGCCTCAACATAAAAATATGTCGCCACGCCGAGGGTCGCATAGCGCAAACCCTTCTGGAGTTTCGTCCGCTCAGCCTCCAGCTGGTGGAGGTTCTCCAAAGCTGCCTCCTGGGAGCGCTTAAAATGCACCATGAAGGCGGCTGGAAAAGTCAATTAAAACCACACAATCACTTGATCAAGCAATCATTCGATTCATTTGTTAATCGATTGGTGTTAAGGAAAGGATGAACGTAATGTAATATCTATACTGCGTATGTGTATATATATATATATGCGTGTGTGTGTGTATGTGTGTGTGTATATGTGTTAGATGCATGTGCATATGCATAGACGGTTTCCCCCTGGATGCACGAAGTGCTCCTGCACGATCTCTCCCACTGATTGGTTGGATGGCTTTGCCCGCCTCAGGGCGACCCCGTCACCGGCTCCCAATATCATAAACCCAAATGGGGGATGATGGGTTATTATTGCTTTATCATTGTTGGGCATGGGATCTATTCTTGGATTTTACTGGTTGGTGCAGCCAATAATGATAGGCACCGCTTTGGAACATTTTTTTTATTTGTTTTCGGCCGTAAGGCGCCTGGATAGCGCCGTCGGGTCCCAAAGGCAACTCATGGCATTTCCACGTGCTCGTCCCATATCTGAAAAACTGTGGAAGACCCAGCTACGTACCACATTTTTTGAAAAATTGTGGAAGCCAATATCTCTCTCTGTGATATGTTTTTCCCCAAACAGTGTGTCCACACTGAGGGGTTCTTACGGTAGGTGTAAAGGCTGGTGCTTGATCAGGGTGCTCACTCTGGGCCGCAGCATTCTTCTTGTAAATTTCCGTGTCAAGCGGCCCTTGTGAAATTTTGACATGCGTCTCGACTGCGCAGGCTCGCACAAAGTCTACGCCGTGGTTTTTGGCCGCGGCATTTTTCATGTAAATTTCAATATAAAGTGGCTCTTGTGAACTGATGCCTTGCATTTCGACTGCGCAGGCTCGCACAAAGTGTGTGCCTGCGTTCTGGGCTCAATCTGGGCCGCGGCATTTTTCCTGAAAATTTTCGTATAAAGTGGCTCTTGTGAGATGATGCCTTGCATTTCGACTGCGCAAGCTCGCACAAAGTGTGACTGCATTCTGGGCTAGTGTGTCTCTGCGTTCTGGTCTCATTCTGGGCCGCAGCATTTTTCCTATGACCTATGAATTTCCGTATCAAGTGATTCTTGTGAAATCTTGATGCGCGTTTCGACTGCGAGGCTCGCACAAAATGCGCGTCTGCGTTCTCAGCTCAATCTGGGCCGGGGCATTTTTCCTGGAAATTTCCGTATAAAGTGGCTCTACTGAAATCTTGACATGCTTTTTTACTGCGCAGGCCCGCACAAAGTGTGGTCCTGGGCTCTGGGCCGCGGCATTTTATCTGTAAATTTCCGTATAAAATGGCCCTTCTGAAATGTTGACGTGCATTTCGACTGGGCAGGCTCGCAGAAAGTGTGGTCCTTGGTCTTGGGATCGGTCATCCTCCTCAACATCATCATCATCCCCCACATCATCATCTTCCTCCTCCTCCTCCTCAACATCATCATTCTCAACATCACCGTCTTCCTCCCCTTCACATCATTATCTTCAACTTCATCATCCTCCACCTCATCTTTCGCAACATCATCCTCCTCCACCTCATCTTCCACAACATTATCATCCTTTTCATCATCCTCCTCAACATCATCATCCTCATAACCATCATCTTCTTCCTCCTTCTCAACATCATCATCCTGCACCCTGTCCTCCTCCACTTCTTCTTCTGCATTACCATCCTCATCCTCATCCTCCTCCTGATCATTATCCTAATCATCATCCTCCTCAACATCATCATCCCCATCCTCATCCTCCTCAACATCATCATCCTCACCATCAACATCACCATTCATCATCATCATCATGATCTTCCTTCTCAACATCATCATCATCATCATCCACCTTATCATCCTCCGTTTCATCTTCCGCATCATCATCCTCACCATCAACATCCTCAACATCATCATCCTCAACATCATCCTCCTCAACGTCATCATCCTCAACATCATCCTCCTGCACCTCGTCATCCTCAACATCATCATCCTCAACATCATCATCGGCATCATCATAATCAACATCATCATCATCATCATCAAAAACAACATTACAATACATTATCCTCCCACTCCCTCCACACTGTTTGGGGCCTCTTGCCGGGATAATTGAAACACTTCCCCAGAACATGTGCTTCGCATTTGGATTCACCACATCCCACTGGATACCTCACCGGGCTCAACCATTCCGCCGAGCCACGCGGAAGCTCCGGTGCACAAAGCCACCAGAAACCCAACGGCCTCGATGCATGGAATGCATGGAGGTTCCTGTGTCTACCGAGGTAAACCCAATGCCATAAGCTTTTAGGAAGGTATAACCGGTATAACTCCTAGATATGGGATGATTTTGACCCCCAAAGGCTTGAAGGGTTTATCAGATTTGACACTTTTTTTCTTAAAAGACAAAACTGGCTGTGACATTTGATTGAACTTACCATCTGCGCATTCATTCTTCTAATTGTCCATGTTCTACTCTTCCCATACTACTGCATGTTCCCCTTTTTTGGTGAAGGTTCAGAATGTATAAATATAAATATAAATATATATATATATAAATATATATACAGTGTCACACTTGCTGCTCTCCGGTTGCATCTGCCTTTTTGCAACAGCAGATCTGGACTTCAACACCTTTGGTGTTATCAGAACAAACATGCATCCGCATAGCTCATCTTTCGCCTTTTAGGCCAAATGAGAGCCATCTCTGCCGGAGTGGGTTTGGCAGGAAGCGGTAAGGACACTGGATTCTGCATGAAATTTCGCAAGGCGGAATGCAACTTTGTCACATCTCGCCCGCACCCAACGCTTTCGAAAGCGTGGGCCCATTGTCTGCTGGCGAAAAATTCTCGAGGAGCTTGACCCAGTTGCCACAGAAACTCAAGCTGCTGCGGTTCACCGCCTTGGGCGGTGCGCCGCAGCTGCTGGTTTTTTCTTTTTATCCAATGCTTGAATGCACTGAAAGCACTGGTGTCTAGCGGCTGTAGCAGGCCAGTGCTGGAAGCTGGCACAAAAAGAAGCTGAAAACCTTTCCTTTTGGCAAAAGACATCAACCTTTTAGGTAGATGAGGAGATGCTGTGTCCAAAACGAGTATTGGTTTAACCATTGGAAGCCAAGGCTGGAGCGCCTCTCTCACATCTGCCAAAATTCGGATCATGCAATCTGTTGTCACCCAAGAAGATTTTCTGCGAAGAAGCCGCAACCTCGTCGGTGGCAGCGCTGCAAAACCTTTGGCGACAGTCTGGGGAAGCCTCTTCTCGCTGCAAACCAGGAAGTGCGGCAGCACCGCTTGAATGCCCGGATGACTGCAAAGCAAGGCCCCGTATGTGTAGGCGATCCTCCGCCGACTTTTGGGGACCGGCATTTGTGGACCCCCTGGCACGGGGTAAGACTTCCAGTCATTCACCACGCAACCTTTCGGACATGGTGGACAGCAAGGAACAGAAGTTTCATCAAAGTTGATCCAAACCAGTTCCTGGTGGCCAAATTTCTCGGTCACATAGGCAATGGATCTCCAGAACGCCTTCACCTGGCAAAACGAAGATTCGGGTCTCAAAAAAGTGGCAAACAAGACTTTAAAAAATGGCTCAAGTACAATGTTTTGGGGCCCTAGAAAAGCGACCCATTTGTGTCCCAAAAAGCGGCCCCAGAAACCAGGGATGCTTTCATTTTCAACCAAAAAGGGTTCCAAAAAAGCGACCCGGCTTTTTTGCCCATTCTTGCCTTGTCCCGCAAAATGCTGGGATCCACTGTGTCAGCTGACCGCAGGCATGCCCTGCGAACACCCCACCGAGCCCGCCAACGAGCAGCCCATTTGTTAACAGTCCTGCGGCGAGGCTGTCCACAAGGTTCCACCTGAAGCGCCTTGTTCTCATAGTAATGAAACACATCTGCCGCTGATGGTGCCACGCCTTGAGAAAGGTTTTGACGCTTCACCCAACACCAAGCATCGTGTTCCAGGAGGAACTGCTGTGCAAACTTGCGGGCAGGTCCCCAAAGTGCTGAGCCTTCATCATGTAACATCAAAAAGTCCTCCCAATTGTGGTTGCGAAAGAGAGCCCTGACAAAATCTGATGTTGGAAATGCTGCAGAACATTGGGGCAATCGGGACAGCCGCTGTGCCGCTCGCAGAGCCAAACTCAAATCCCAGTTTGACAAAGCATAGACGGCCAAAACTTTTCGCTCAGAGTGGCAAGAAAGGCCGCCTTTGAGCAGCGAGGCAGCTTCTCTGCGAGATTGCTGCTGGCAATTTCGTATGTGCCTTTGGTTCAGCAGAAGGGCTGCTCGGAGTTCTGTCACCTTCTTCTCTGCCAAGCAGGCCACGGCTTCGGCGGCTACTGACATGAGTAAAGGATCTACTGAAACTGTCTGGCTGAAGGTTTTGCTATACCTATATGATATGTATTGTAGCATGAGTTTACATGGCTTGTCTCCTGTTGCATCTATTTTTGAACCTGCTTTGAGAACAATAGGTACGCCGTCTTCTACCACCCTGCTGCTTTGAACCATTCTGATTCATACAGCCAGAGCAGAGCTGCATTTTGAAACATGACAACAGTGGGCCCAGCACACCAAACGCTCAATAGCATGCCAACCCTGCCAACCATGGCTATGACATAAGAGGAATTGTTGGAAACAAAAACACTTGAGGAATGAACTCTAGTGACTGCAAATGAATCGGAAATCGGTGGCACCCCTGGCTGCAACTACAGTGATGTAGCGACAGAGACACACACACACAGTATATGTATGTATACAATATATCAATCCAAAAAATAGTATCAAGTCTTGTCACTTTTCACCATTTTAGAATCTAGAAGGATCTGACTTTCTATATATTTTTTGAAAACAAAACTCAATTCATCGAGTGATCCCTTTCTGCCAGCGTTTGCCCTGAGAATGTGCATCCAAGCTGCTCGCCAGGGCACCATGGCGAGCAACTTCATTTAAAGCCAACAATTGGCTGCAGATACATTTATTTATTCACCTCTATATATATATGTGTGTGTGTATGTGTGTTAAAAAAAGAAAAATATATAAAACTCAAATATAATATGCTATAATAAAGTATGATACAATATAGTATCATATGTATACAGTATATAATTATCTATTTATCTATGTATCTATGCATCTATGCATCTATGCATCTATGTATGTCTGCCTGTCTGCCTGTCTGCCTGTCTCTCTGTCTCTCTCTCTCTCTCTCTCTGTCTCTCTCTCTGTCTCTCTCTCTCTGTCTCTCTGTCTGTCTCTCTGTCTGTCTCTCTGTCTGTCTCTCTGTCTGTCTCTCTGTCTGTCTCTCTGTCTGTCTCTCTGTCTGTCTGTCTGTCTGTCTGTATGTATGTGTGTCTGTATGTATGTTAGGTATGTATGTATGTAAGTAGGTATGTATGTGGGTAGGTATGTATGTATGTATGTAGGTAGGTAGGTATGTATGTATGTGTATGTAGGTAGGTATGTAGGTATGTATGTATTTATGTAGGTATGTATGTATGTCTATGTATGTATGTGTATGTATGTGTATGTGTATGTATGTGTGTATGTGTATGTGTATGTGTATGTGTATGTGCGTGTGTATGTATGAGTGTGTATGTATGTGTGTGTATGTATGTGTGAGTATGTATGTGTATGTATGTATGTATGTGTGTGTGTGTATGTATGTGTGTGTATATGTATGTGTGTATGTGTGTGTGTGTGTATGTGTGTGTATATGTATGTGTGTATGTGTGTGTATGTGTATGTATGTGTATGTATGTGTATGTATGTGTATGTATGTGTATGTATGTGTATGTGTGTATGTATGTGTATGTATGTATGTATGTACGTACGTATGTATGTACGTATGTATGCATGCATGCATGTATGTATGTATGTGTATGTGTATGTGTATGTGTATGTGTATGTATGTGTGTGTATGCATTTGCATGTACATGTACGCACGTACACGCATGTATGTATGTATATGTATGTATGTATATGTATGTATGTATATGTATGTATGTATATATATATGTATGTATATATATATGTATGTATATATATGTATGTGTGTGTATGTATGTGTATGTATGTACATGTATATGTATATGTATATGTATATGTATATGTATATGTATATGCATATGTATGCATATGTATGCATATGTATGCATATGTATATGTATATGTATATGTATATGTATATGTATATGTGTATGTGTATGTATGTGTATGTATGTGTATGTATGTGTATGTATGTGTATGTATGTGTATGTATGTGTATGTATGTGTATGTATGTGTATGTATGTGTATGTATGTGTATGTATATGTATGTATTTGTATGTATTTGTATGTGTATGTATGTGTATGTATGTGTATGTATGTGTGTGTATGTGTATGTATGTGTATGTATGTGTATGTATGTGTATGTATGTGTATGTATGTATGTATGTATGTATGTGTATGTATATGTATGTATGTATGTATGTATGTATGTGGGTAGGTAGGTAGGTAGGTAGGTAGGTAGGTAGGTAGGTAGGTAGGTATGTATGTACTGTATGTAATGTATGTATGGTAATGTAATGTAATGTAATGTAATGTAATGTAATGTAATGTAATGTATGCATGTATGTTACATATCCGCCGACCCCGGCCTGTGCCAAGGCAGGGGCGGCGCCTGGGACCACCGGAGGTGTGGAACTTGGCTCTCGGGTCGCAAGCAAAGGCACATGCCCCCAAACGATTCCAACCCTCCCGCAGGCCTCCAAGGCAACAACTCTTACAGTTACAGCTATTACTTCAAGACTGCCGTTTGCTCGGCCTCAAACCCCCCAAACGCTTCCAACCCGCCCGCAGGCCTCCAAGGCAACAACTCTTACAGCTACTATACATGCCCCTGCCATCTGTCTTTCAGGGGGTTCAAGACTGCCGTTTGCCCGCCCTCAAATCCAAGGCAACAACTCTTACAGCTACAGCTACTACTTCCAGACTGCCGTTTGCTCGGCCTCAAACCCCCCAAACGCTTCCAACCCGCCCGCAGGCCTCCAAGGCAACAACTCTTATTACAGCTACTACCCGCAGGCCTCCAAGGCATCAACTCTTACAGCTACTATACATGCCCCTGCCATCTGTCTTTCAGGGGGTTCAAGACTGCCGTTTGCCCGCCCTCAAATCCAAGGCAACAACTCTTACAGCTACAGCAACTACTTCCAGACTGCCGTTTGCTCGGCCTCAAACCCCCCAAACGCTTCCAACCCGCCCGCAGGCCTCCAAGGCAACAACTCTTATTACAGCTACGACATGCCCCTGCCATCTGTCTTTCAGGGGGTTCAAGACTGCCGTTTGCCCGCCCTCAAACCCCCCAAACCCTCCCGCAGGCCTCCAAGGCACCTGCCATCTGTTTTTCAGGGGGTTCAAGACTGCCGTTTGCCCCCCCTCAAACCCCCCAAACCCCCCAAACCCTCCCGCAAGCCTCCAAGGCAACAACTCTTACAGCTACATGCCCTCAAACCCCCCAAACGCTTCCAACCCTCCCGCAGGCCTCCAAGGCAACAACTCTTACAGCTACTACATGCCCCTGCCATCTGTTTTTCTTCCAACCCTCCCGCAGGCCTCCAAGGCAACAACTCTTACAGCTACAGCTACTACTTCCAGACTGCCGTTTGCTCGGCCTCAAACCCCCCAAACGCTTCCAACCCGCCCACAGGCCTCCAAGGCAACAACTCTTATTACAGCTACTACATGCCCCTGCCATCTGTCTTTCAGGGGGTTCAAGACTGCCGTTTGCCCGCCCTCAAACCCCCCAAACCCTCTCGCAGGCCTCCAAGGCACCTGCCATCTGTTTTTCAAGGGGTTCAAGACTGCCGTTGCCCGCCCCTCAACCCCTCAAAACCCCCAACCCCCCAAACCCTCCCGCAGGCCTCCAAGGCAACCACTCTTACAGCTACATGCC